ATAAGAGACAGCGGCAGGACGTGGCCCCACGGGGACAGCCCCATGGCCGGGGGGTCCGGGAGCGCCCCTTCCCTTCGGGACACGGAGGAGGGACGTGCTTTGGAGCAGCCCGCGCATAGGCTGCAGGACGGGGCCATCCCCGGGGACCACGTGGTGGTAAAAGCAAATGGGACCCCACGGAGCAAACCACGGCGCTGTGACCTGCTGGGATGGGCCGCGCCTGGTGGGCACTCACCCCACGGCAGCAGGACTCTGGGTCTTCCCCCATCCCGGCTTGCTTGGGAGCATCCCGGCCTCCCGAGGGCCGGAGAAGCCCGTCACCTGCTTCTGCTCGCGGCTTCTGGCCCGGGGGGGTCCTGGCTCCAGCCCCCCTGGGACCCCTCTGGAAGCCCGCAGCCTCGCATCACCGCAGCTCTGCTCCCGGACACTTATTCCCACCTGAAGTCCTGCCCGACTGTTTCATAGAATTTGATATTATAAGGTCTATAAAAGTCCCGAAGCTGCTCGATCACCTCGGGGTCTATCTGCACGTGAGTCCTGCCTTTGGACTTGCCCAGGCAGCGAGGCAAGCCGCTGCTCTCTGACTTTTTCAGGCAAGGGAAGCCTTTCGTCTTGTTGAAGTAGAAGTGCTTGTCCGTGATAACCCGTTTGATGCCCAGGAAGTCCTGGACTTTGCCCATCTCCCCGGCTGGGTCCGTGATCAGCTTCTCCCCGCTGACAAAGTGGATCTGGGAGAGGGGGAAGTACTGGAGCCAGCTCTCCAGGTGCACGGCGTACATCCCGATGCGGATGGCGTTCCAGGAGGTGTCCACCAGCCCCAGGGTCCGGTTGCGGAAGGACAGCCCCTCGAAGGTGGGGATGTCCGGCTTCTTGGAGAGCGTCTGCGTGTAGTCCGAGATGGCCCGGGTGACCGGGTTCCTCACCACCACGATCAGCTTCGTGTCCCGGGACATGTTGAAGATCCGCCGTGGTGCCTCCTTGGTGACGAAGTAGCTGGGGGTCTTCTCCACCGTGATCTGGCTGTCGAGCGTTCGTGGCATCAGGCTCCTGCAAGCGAAGCAGAAGGTGATGGTGAGGAAGGAGCCGGGCTGGGCACCGGGAGGTGGTGTCCAGCGTGGGCTGGGGGAGTGTCCCCTCCCAGCAAGAGAAGGCAGGCACAGCTCCCTCCTGCAGCGCTGCCAAGGGCCCCTGGCCATGGTTACTCCCGGGTCTGCACCAACCCCAGGGCCCCCCCCAGACACAGCAGCAAGCAGAGACGCTCCCGAGGGAGGCCAGAGCCAGGCAGGACAGAGGGCAAGGTCACGGCCGGGCCGCTGGGGACCCCGGGATGGCTCCGTCCCCATCAGCAGCAAAGTCATTACTGATGCAAGGACAGCGCCAGAGCTGCAGTGGGAAGGGGAGCGGGTCCTGGCACGGCCGCGTCACCCTGCAGCCTGGGCTCAGCCTTTGTCCCCCCATCCCTACATGGGGAGGGGCCGGGATGCGGGAGCACGGTGGCTGCGCCACACCAGCACCACGGGAAGCTGTGGGGAGGGATGGATGAGGCCCCCGGGTGCTGTGCTGCTCCACCGGTGGGAGCTGGGAGCGAGTGGCTGCCCGGGGACTCCGGGCTCGTGCCCATGAGGGCATCACCCGCCCGGCCAGAGACGGGTCCTGCGGGCACCGGCTGTTTCTGGCACGGGGAGCCGGGCTGCCAGGCCAGGGAGGGAGCACCAGACCAGGGGAAAACGTGGCGTCCCTGCAGTCCAGCTTAGCACTAATTAAATCATTTGCTTTGACATGTGAACATCCAAATCAAATAAAAACTAATGGGATGGAAAGATTTATAAATCGGTCTGGTATTACCAGAGTCAACTATCAAATCCATCGCAGCCAGAGTCATGGCGCCACAGGGTCCCCTGGCTGGAGCGGGCAGGGAGCGGGCAGGGAGCGGGCAGGGAGCACCGGCAGCAGCACAAGGGCAGTGCCCCCCCGCTGCACCGCCCCGCAGTTCATTGCTCAGACGCATCCGCCGCGTTTCCCAGTTTCCCACTTGGCAGCACAAGCTGGGGTCTCGCGTTCACAAGAGGCTGGTTTGGGCTCGGCTGTGCAGCACAACAGCCTGAGAGGCGCAGGCAGGTGCTGCCTGGGGAGAGTTTTATGAGGAACGGTGAATTTTTTTTTTTAAACAGAGCCCGGACATTTAACGCGGGGCGCACACAGGTGCCCGGCATGGGGCAGCATCTGGCTGCGGGAGGCTCGCAGGCAGCCTGGCCTCGGGGACCCCGGGGAGCCGGAGGGGTGTCCCCGAGCCCGTCACCTCCTGTGCACCTTTCCGGGCGCCCAGCGATGGGTCCCTGCTTGAGCCAGCACGCTCCCCGTGAAGGTGACATGGGGACAAGAGGAGACTGTGGTCCTGGGGGGACCAGACAGGCAGCTGGAAGAGACGCACGGAGAGAGACAGACGAGCCCCGAGGCCTGCGGCAGGCTGCTGGGGACAGGGCGGAGGCACCGCGCTCCCCCGGGCGCTGGCACGGGGCCGGGGTCCCCGCACGCCCCCAGAGCTGCTGCCCCG